TAATAATTATGATTTTTTATTATAAAAATTTATGTTTTTGTGTAACTGTAGTTTCCACGGGTTATAACGTAGTACTTCTAATAAAAAAGTCTACTTTATGACACGTGTTATGTTCTTATCACCCGGTTTGACACGAGGCGTCTTCTCTTTGTTCGATTTTTTTATTTTCCCACTCAATGATAATCAATGCCATTAAAATGATATTCAATGCTATTACAACTAATAGAATCAACTTTTTTATTTCAATCCACATTAATTGTATTTGAATCCCGTTGAGTGAGGACCTTCCAACTACCAAGTCTATAAATCAGGAACAATATCTCGCTCTCTCCTTCATCGTTTCATCGCTTCATCCCTAAATCACAACTCTGTATCCTCTAAATTCTTATGCTCTCTTTTGGAAACAAAATCAACTATGATATTGTTTCAAAATTTAAAATATCCAAATCCTTAAGCGTTAGAAGATAATATTCCGGCTCGCTGCTCAACGACATTGAGTGCTTTCTTTTTGAAGGTAGTGTATCGGTGGAAAACACTTCCTCGACTCACATATCTTGTGCATATGCTTTTTCTCTTTTCCTTAATTTTGTTATAAATTGTGCTGATGAATGCGACCTGAATTTCGTTTTTGTTAGAAATTTCAGAATATTGGTAGCTAATTCTATGAGTTCTACGTACATCTAGAAACGAGAAGTAGTAGATTATGAATGGTAGTATTTTGATTTTTAAGACCCGATTTAATCCCACTATGAGCAATAGCTTGTCTAGGATTACAATTTCATGGATGACTGAGAACACTTAATTTGAGGTGAGACACGGTTAAAACATTACGATTCCATTTATGGAATCTGAATTGTAGTTTGAGTAAAAAAGGTTGAATTTTATAATTGAGTGTTCTTCCCTCTCAAAAATTATAAAAGTAAGTACAGATATGATTTTGATAGTACGTAATTGTCCTTATGAATTTGATTTAATAGTAATCTTCATGATAATGTGTTCGCTTTATCTCAATATCATAAATAGTGAAGGAGAACATAAGTACCCTGCTTCGAGCTATGTTATGAATTGTACATGTAATTCTTACTTTGTACATTCAAACCTTGATATTTACATTATAGAAACCTGTTTGATTTTGTCATGTAGATGCATGCACATGAAATTCTAATGAGTAGTTTACCCATTACATGCGATGCATGCACATGAAACATTTTAATGCTTGAGCAAAATGTTTATCAAACATAAGGATTCATTCATTATTCCATTCATTATTACAATTTTTAGTATTGGGTTTTCTAATAAATTTAGAATCTAGGTAGCTAAATGCTAATGGTAGGTTATCTTATCTACCTGAGTTAGTATTGCATAAAGAAGTTCTATTGGTCCTCCTTATGGTACAAGGATTGTAGGAGGAAGAATTGTAAAAGAAAGGTATGGTGCTGCTAAACAACAACATACATTTACGGTGAGCAACATTTATAATCTCTGAACACTTTCAAATGTTCTGAGTTTTAACCTCTAATTATTTGTAACTTCTATTTATTATGTTGAGGTTTTATGGAGTAAAAGGGTGAAACCACTTCATAAAATACTCATAAACGACAGAAACCTTTATATATTAAAAACAATAAAACAAGTTGATTTATATATTGCATACCACTTTGCTTTATTCAAACATTTATTTATCATAATGGCTGAAAGTATTTATTATTAATCAGATATGGGAAGATGAAATTGAAAGATATAAAATTTTTCTTAAGATTTTTGATATGTTATTTTTAATAGAAGATTCATATGGTTGGTTTTTAAATCACTACTACACAAGTGATTTAATAATGCGACCCATTTTTTATTTTTGAGGCGGTTGATAGTAAAAACCGCCTCATTAAATGTATAAAACATTAAATAATCCAATAACCGCTTTAAAAAAGTACCGGATAAATTCTGAAAAGTTTTTGTTAAGGCGGTTAAAAATAAATAGCATCAAAAAACAATTTTTTAAGGCGGTTAAAAATAAATAGCATCAAAAAAAGATTTTTTAGTGCTGCTTCATGTAACAGCATCATTAAATAAGGAGTTTTTGATGCTTTTTTTTTATAAAAGAGCATCATTAAATCTTTATCTTTTAATGCTATATTTTAAAAAACGCATCAAATGAAAACACTTTGATTTTTTAGTGCTACTTCATTGTAAAAGCATTATTAAATCTTTATCTTTTGATGCTATATTTTGAAAAAAAAAAAGCATCAAATGAAAACCAGCTATATCCGTCTTTTAGGGTTTCTGTAAACTCTTATACTTCGAACTTTTGGAACATGAAGATTCTCTGCATTTATGAAACATAAACATAAATGCGTATTAACTCAAAATACCCTTATTAATTGTTTTGCTATCTTCACTAAAGGTAATTTTAATTTTATTGTACTTTTGATTTTATTCTAAGTATTTATTTATTAAATGATTGTTTATTGATGTTTTTTTAAATTGATTAGTGTAGACTGTGAACATGTGAAAATTTTCATAACTTGTTTGTTTAGAATCAATATATTTACCTTCTTTGAATGTTTATTTTAATTTTCAGATGAATCGTGATTATTGGATGTACAACACTTCACGTTTTTCTCAATTTTATATAGAGGGTGTTCAAACTTTTATTAGGGTTTGCCGAAGAAAATCGCTTAGAAAAAGGAAGTGGATCGATTTGTTGTCCTTGTAACGTTTGTAAAAACTTTAAAACGTTTAATTGTACCGAAGAAATAGAGTATCATTTGTTGCAAAATGGTTTTGTGCCTAATTACACTTGTTGGTCAAGATATGGAGAAACACTACTTGATTATAGTACATCCTCGACCAATTTACATATTAATAATAGTACATGCAACAAAGATTCATATGTTGTTGATGATGATCACCATTCAAATGATCCCAATGACAATTTCAATGAAATGTTCGATGACATGGAGGCTAATATGGGTGATGTTGAACAAGAAAAATTACATGGCCTATTTGAAGAAGCAGAAACACCGTTATATAGCGGTTGCAAATTTATGAAACTTGATGTTGTATTGAGGTTGATGAACTTAAAGTCGAAAAACGGATGGAGTGATAAAAGTTTCACAAGTCTATTAGTGCTTTTGCATGACATTCTTCCGGAAGACAATGCATTACCCATTTCTACATACCAAGCAAAAAAGCTAATGTGTCCGATGGGATTGGAAGTTGAAAGAATACATGCATGTCCAAATAACTGTATGTTGTATAGAAAGGAGTTCGAGAATAAACATAATTGTGTTTTTTGCGGTGCATCGAGGTATAAACGGAAAAAAGATTTGGATGAAGTTGACGATGATGTGACAAAAAATGGACCACCAGCTAAAATGTTGTGGTATCTCCCTATTATACCGAGACTGAAAAGGTTATTTTCAAACGAAGAAGAAGCAAAGTTACTTTGTTGGCATTCGGAAGAACGTGAAACTGACAGAAAACTAAGACATGTTGCAGATTCACCTCAGTGGAGAAACATTGATAAGAAGTATCCTGAATTTGGAAAAGAGATGAGAAACATACGGTTTGGGCTTAGTTCAGACGGGATCAATCCTTTTGGGAACATAAGCAGTCGTCATAATACGTGGCCGGTTCTTTTGTGCATTTACAATCTTCCACCGTGGTTATGCATGAAACGGAAATACATTATGATGTCGTTGTTGATTCAGGGGCCGAGACAACCTGGTAACGATATTGATGTGTATTTTTCTCCTTTGATTGATGACTTAAAAACTCTTTGGAGTTCGGGTGTAGACGTATATGATGCTTATAAGAAACAACACTTTCAATTGCGGGCCATGATTTTTTGTACTATAAGTGATTTTCCAGCGTATGGTAACTTGTCAGGATACAAAACAAAGGGTAAGAAAGCTTGTCCAGTTTGTGAAGATCAAACAAGCTCGATATGGTTAAAAAATTGCAAAAAAACTATAGACATGGGACATCGAAGATTCCTTCCGAAGAGTCACCGTTTTAGGAAGAAAACTATTGAGTTTGATGGAAGTATCGAGATCAGAATGATGAGGAAACGATTTGATGCATTTTCACGAGTTGCAAGTATAAATGTAGTGTTGGGAAAAAGATTTCGTGTTGATAAAGATGCCCTTTGGAAAAAAAAGTCATTTTTTTTTGAATTGCCTTACTGGAGACATTTGGATGTTAGACATTGTTTAGATGTTATGCATATTGAAAAAAACGTATGTGAGAGCTTGATATGCTTATTATTAGGTATGATGCATAAAACTAGAGAGTTTAATATCCGAAAGGACATGGTCGAGATGGGGATACGTGAAGATCTTGCTCCCGAACAAAGTGCTAACCGTATTTATCTCCCAGCTGCTTGTTATACTACATCCAAAGAAGAAAAAATAAAGTTTTGCAATGTTTACATGATATTAAGGTTCCATCAACTTATTCTGCAAACATTAAAAGATTTGTGTCGATGAAAGACTGTAAATTGTTTGGAATGAAGTCTCACGATTGTCATGTTTTGATGACACATATGATTCCTATCGCAATTCGTGGAATTTTACAAGATGATGTACGACATTCTATCACTAAGCTTTGCTTGTTTTTTAACAACATTCACTCAAAGGTTATTGACATAGAAGATTTGGATAAATGGGAGAAAGACGTTTATGTTACACTTTGTGAATTAGAGATGCACTTTCCACCCTCATTTTTTGATATAATGGTTCACTTGATATCTCACATCGTACAAGAGATTAAGGCTTGTGGTCCCGTATTCTTACGGTACATGTACCCTTTTGAAAGATACATGGGTATCCTAAAAGGTTATGTAAGGAACCGTAATCGACCTGAGGGCAGTATTGTTGAAGGGTATACTTCTGAAGAGGTGATTGAGTTCTGCCAAGGTAATCCTATTAATAATATATTACAGTTATAAACATTTATAATATATTACATATAATATAATAATTTATTTTTTTATAGGCTATATGAAAGATGTCGAAAGTGATGGTGTTCCTAAAACTCGTCATTCAGGTCGACTTGAAGGTAAGGGAGGAGTCGGTTTAAAAGTAACCATGCCAACTTATGAAGAGTTACAAGTTGCACACTTAGTGGTCCTAAAACACATGAAATGTCTTACTCCATACATTGATGAACACATGGACATGTTGAAGTCGAAATACCCGGGCAAGGAACAAATGTGGTACATAAACAATCATAATAAAGAGTTTTCAAGGTGGCTGAAAAATAAGGTAGCAGAAACTAATGTTGATGAAACTGTGAAAAGATTAGGACATGGGCCAGATTGTAGAGTTAAATCTTATGAAGGGTATGACATTAACGGGTATACCTTTTACACGAAAGATCAAGATCAAAAAAGTACAATGCAAAATAGTGGAGTTACAATGATAGCATCAACGACCGAATTCGACAGACGGGATCATGATACTTTGATAAGAATAGCCAAAGATTCTTATTACGGTGTTATACAAAATATTTGGGAGTTGAACTATTTTGACTTCGTTATTCCCGTGTTCAAATGCAAGTGGGTGAATAACCGTACAGGTGTTCAAGTCGACAAAGATGGTTTTACACTTGTCGACCTTACAACTAATGGCTATGCATCTGAACCATTCGTTCTCGCAAAACATGTCACACAAGTTTTCTATGTCAAAGATCCGAGCAAACAAAAAGAGCACATCGTCTTACAAGGTAAACGACGAATTGTTGGTGTTGATAATGTCGTTGATGAGGAAGAATACGACCACTTTGATGATCTACCACCATTTTCAGTTGGTATTGAACACGATAATTACGATAATGTCGAACGCACAACATTCGTACGATCTAACATTGAAGGGACATATGTTGATTAAGGACATGATTGGGGTTTTTCTTATGCATTTTTTACTATTGCGATTACATGATTTTTGTATGAAATACTATCTATTGATAAGAGTAATTACAATACGGTCCTTATCTTTTGATAATTACAATGTTTCTATATTACTATCCATTAAAATGTATTAGTATGAGTGTAAAACTTTTACTTGCTCTGTTAACAAAATGGACAAATTCACTTTCAGAAAAAGGCAACCTAGTTATACTTTCAAAAACCGCCTCAACAAATAAACCGCCCTAAAATATATACAAAATAGCTTTAAAAAATATTTATAACAGCATCAAAAGATAAACAGCATTAGAAAAACAAAAAACATTAAAAAAATCCTATAACCGCCTCAAAAAACACCAAAAAAATAGAAATAGCATCAAAAAATATAGTAACGCATCAAAAAATTATGGGATTATAATTGATGGCATTAAAAAATAGAAAAAAAGCATCAAAAAAAGTTCAATAAATTACCAAACGAGAGGAACGCGAGGATGAATAAGGAATAATTACCATTAAAAAGAATAAAATGTTCTTTCAATTCATTAAATAAATCAACTTATTTTATCAAATATTAATTACTACCTCACATTAAAATTTAGGAGCTGCCGTTTTTTTAAACTTTTGATCGTGGTTACTACATTAAAAACCCTTAATAGCATCAAAAAACCCTTCAAAAAAGTCCAAGATACCGCTTCAAAAAACCCTCCATAGCCTCCCCAAATTCCACACAAATCGCATCATAAAACCTAAAACCGCCCCAAATCATCTCTTTCCCTCTAAAATTTTAGTTTTAGCTTTCTAAAATTTTCATTGCGCGCCCTCTTCTGTGTTCCATAGCTGAATTCGTAACCCATTCTTTCTGTAAAACATCCATAGTCGACGCCATTCCGACCTCTATTCCGGCCGTCCCCGACGCTTAAATCGCTCCAGAAGTCTCCTCGGTTTCAATAGGTTGGCATTTTCGAGTTTCTTTTTCCAATAAGGTATGTATATATATATATATATCGATTTGTTTTCTTTTTATACCTTAGGAATCTGTAAGAATATGAGAAGAATATGAAAAGATGATGATGAATATTTAGAATATATGATAAGATGAACACGTGACTATAGTATTGATTTTCTTTTTGTCAAAAAGCGCTATTACTTTAGGTTATATTTAGGAATCTTTTAGGAATCTTTAGAATATGAGAACAAACTATATGATGTCGGGAATCTTTAGAATATGTTTAGAATATGAAAAGATGTTTTATTCTGTTTAATAAATGTAATATTTGGCCCACATATATGGGGTCTACCAATTTCATTGGATTTGTAACTTTTATGTGGATTATGTTTTTGTTTTTCTTGCAATATACTATTGTATTGGAATATGTTATACTCTAGTGTTTATCATGTTCTAGTGTTTATCATGGATAAAATTATTTTTAATTTGTATAATGTTGTTAGGTTATAAAAATGGATGAGGTAAGACCAATAACAAAAAAAAGAGGTCAACGTGGTATTGCTGCATTCAAGAAAAATTATCGACCTGAAGAGTATAATGTTAAATTCAATGAGAATAATATCCCAAATGGTGGCATGTCAACCCAATTTATGTCTTGGTTTGGCATGAATGTTCAACATAGGTTTCCGATAGATGAAGATCCGGGTAAAGTTAAAGATAAATATTTTGAAGATTTATGGTTGGAAGCTAAGGTATTATATTTTAATTTATTACAAATATGAATAATTTGTTATTTAGTTATTATGTTTAACATTTTTTGTCTTGAAATTGTAAAAGCAATGGAATATCGAGTCTGATGACATGAAAGATTATATGAAGAGGAGAGCTGTTAAACTTGCATCAAATTTTAAATCAAGGCTAGTTTCAAAATTTGTAAATAATGAATTAGATGCATGTGCTGTATATACCTTTATACCTCGCGATGTTTGGGATAGATTCGTTGCACAAAAAACTACCCCTGAGTTTTTGGTATGTTTTAATTGTTTATTTATTATTATTATTGATAATATTATTAGTATGTTTACAAATAATTAATAAAATTTTGTTGATATGTGTGTAGGCAAAAAGTGCAAAAGCTAAAAAAAATAGTGCTAAAAAGAAATCCCAAAACCACGTAGGACGAGGTGGATGGCCGGGTCTTGAAAAAAAAGCACCTATTATATGGCCTCAACTTGTAGCAAAATATGAGTTTCTAGAAAGCATACAAAATGAAAGGTCTAAGTTGTATTTAATGTCTTTCGCAAAAAAAGACAAAGAAACCAAGATGTATGATCTTCCACAAACGGCAATTGAAAATTTCAAATTTTTGGTAACAATTATGTTTTTTAAATAATGAGACTTTGATTATTTTTAGTAAATAAATGTTACCAAGTACTTTTTTTTATATAGGAACGAGAAGAGAAAAATATGATAGCCGATGGGAGCTATTATCAAAATGAGGAAGACCCGTTAGTTAGGCTTTTGGGGCCCGAGCACGGGGGGCGATCACGGACAGTATCCAATATCATTGGGCCTACCAAGGTTTCGGGTGGATTGTTTAAAAATGTGAAAAAAAGTCGAAAATCGATGCCGCGGGTCGACACGAATCAAACATTCCGTGAATCTAATGGTGTGTCCGATGGACGATTGGTAGAATATCCACCTATTGAGGTAATATATTTATAGTTTTTATATAAACTTATATTAGATTTATAGTTTTTTTTTGTATGATTTGTAGGTTATGACAGCATGTGATTTGCTATTAAAAGTTGCTGATACTGAGTTGAAAGTAGCTTCTGGTATGGCATGACCAACCTCAGAAACGGTTATACATTCAAAACCAATAAATGAAGGTTGTGTTAAAGTTCAAGTTGATGAGATCGTAGAAATATATGAGAACTTGCCTGTGCATGCCGTAACACAAACGGATGAAGTTGAATTTGTTAAACATCTGCTTCATAGCATCGTTCAGTGGCCGAGATATGCATTAAAGGTATATTTCTATTTAAATACAAAAATATATTTTAATATAGTTTTATTTAAATATTGCAATCTATTTAGCTTGTGAACAAAACACCAAGCAAGTCAAATAGTGGTACAAGAATGGGCTCGAATCACTCCTCTCCACAGATACACGTTGATGACACCACAACCTCATTTTATCGTCCACAGGTAGTCATACTCGACCGGTTCACTTTTATAAAATGTTGTTAATTTAGTTTTATTTGTTAATATTATAACAATTTGTTTGTTATTTTAGTTTGAGGAAAACCAATTTCCTTATCATCATCAAATGGATGCTAATGAACCTTTTCAAGGTGGTTTGGTTGATATGGTTAGTCTTAAGAAAACTTGTTTTATGTTTGTTTCTAGATGTTTAATGTTTGTATACAATCATATGTAGTACTAATGTTTTATGTTTGTTTTTAGATATTATCTATGAATCCACAACAAATTGATTTAAATGCACTCGGATCTGGGCCCGGGCCTAGGCTAGAACGTGAACGCAATCCCGATCCTGAACTCGAACCCGATTCCGAACCCGAACCCGAACCCGAACCCGAACCCGAACCCGAACCAGAACCAGAATCCGAACCCGAAATCGAACCATTTACATGCGTAGATGATGCTCTTTATATATCCTTGAGCAAAGTACAACAAAAAAGTCCTAAAATTCAAGCTATTGCTTTTCAAGTAGCAGACTTTTTTAAGAATGCACATGGCACTTATATTTTTTCACCCAGAGGGATGTATCGCAACAAAGTTCGACTTCCCATCCTATATAGCGAGGTGTTACAGTTATTTCTAAGGGGTTGGCTTGATTATAGCATTATACATTGGTTTGCGATGTAAGTTATTATACTTTTAATATGGTATAATAACATTTAGATATAATTAATTTTACTAACATTGTGTAGTATATATAGGTGTTTTTCTAGGTCTCCCAATTCCGAATGCGCTTTTTTTGATCCGTTACGCATTGCAAGATTAGATACGCAAATAAGGTTTACGGCTGTCGCCGAACATATCGAAGAAGTATTTTCGTATCATGAAAGCAAAAAATATTTTATTGCTCCATATTTACAGGGGTATTTTTTTCTTTCCATAATACATACGCATACATATACACACTACATGTATATGCTTACTTGTTCTATATATTTTATTTTTGTAGTGACCATTGGGTTCTTTTAATCCTATGTCCGAATAGCAAATCTGCTTATATTCTGGATTCTTCAAAAAATGATGAAAAGAAATCAGACGAATACATTTTTACTTCTTTGATCAATAGAATTTTCCCAGGACAATTTCATAAGTGGGAAATGGTAAATGTATGTTTTTTGTTGTTTTTTTTTATCAGTTTATTTCAAGTGGTTTGAAATATTTAATTGTGAATTAAATGTAGTGCTATAAACAAAAAGGTAGTTGGGAATGTGGATATATAGTGATTAAACACATGCAAGAGTTTGTTGAGACCATTCAACATGATTTTCAAAATAAAGTAAGTGTCTAGTATATATTTAAAATATCAATTTTTCTATCTAGTTGTATATATATTTATATAATTTGTTTGTTTGTTGCAGTTTTGGAAAAAGAAGATGTTTGCTTCGCCTCATAAACTTGAAGATATGGTCTTAGAATTGATACCGCATTTGATTGAAATGGTGAATGATAGTCGGAAAAGAACTCAGTAAGAATTCATTAGGATGTTTTGTATTTTATTATAACTAAAATTTAAACTATAAATTAATTGTTTTTTGTGTAATGGTGTAGTATTTTGTAATACCTTTTTGTTTATTGGTATTAGTTTTTTTTGCTTCCATTGATGGCAACCAAATTGTGCTATTTAATAGAGCGTTTTTTTTTTTTTTTGGCCTAAGGTGGTTCCATTTTCTAATGATGTTGACTGTAAGCATCAACAATTGATTTATGATATTTTATGTTGCCATTATTCGTATTGCAGCCTCAAAAAATAACTGCATGAAAAAACTAACAGCATCAAAAAATAATTCTATTTAGCATAAAAAAATAACTCTATTTTTTAAGGCTAACAGCATCAAAAAATAACTCTATTTAGCATCAAAAAATAACTCTATTTAGCATCAAAAAATAACTCTATTTTCTAAGGCTATTCAGTAACAGCATCAAAAAATAATTGTGTTTTTCTAATGCTGTTTAACAACCGCCTCAAAAAACAAGCCTAATTCATGAAGCTCTTTTTATAGGGCGGTTTTGTACATTTTCTAAGGCGGTTTAAGAACCGCCTCAATAAACAAGACGATTTTATAATGCTATATTTTTTGAAGCGGTTGAATAACCGCATCAAAAAATAAAATAAACCGCTTTATTAAACATCTTCTGTACTAGTGAATAAATGTTTGACACTTATGGGTATATGAGTTTTGTTTTCATATTCTTTATAAATTGCCTTCAAAACTTTTTCTTATTGTTAATGTTTGTGCTATTAAGATTTAATGTAAAAAAATGTTGATTTTGTATTATCGGTAGAGAAATGTATATGTAGTCGTAAATATTAAGTAAAAGATAAAAAACATTAGTCTTATTTTACTAAAAGGGTTGGCTAAAACCTATTTTATGTTGAGACAATTCTTGTTAATTAATAGCTCTAAAACTTGTAAGAATGGTTAAAAGACAGTATGCTAAGAGACTATAAAGGAGTTTATTACCTAAATGTAATTGGTGGCCACAATCTAATTGTGACATACACATGTTGGTATTTGGTAAGCACAAAAAGCTATAAAATTATGAGTGAAATAGATAAAGAAAGATCTTGTAACCGTTTCCAGAACTCTTATACATTTTCGTTCTGTTTATCTTTTATTTTATAAAATTTGTTATTAGACGTTCATGACATACTAAATGAAATAGGAAAAAATTCGTACAAAGCAATTGTGCTAAAGAAAACAAAAAAATTGAATACATCATATCCAATATGTCTGATTCTAATATAGATGACAGATTCTTAAACACAAATAATTTTAGAAATCAAAGTTCTAATCTTTCTTAACGGTTGTCATCGACGTAACTCAAAGTGTAGATACTTTTAGTTAACCGTTTAAAATTTGTGTTTACACCTATGAAATTTTTAAGCCATTTCTAATAAAAAAATATTTTTATTGAGATAAATTGTATTTGGAACATAATGAACATTGTATACCATTTAAATACTAATATAATATTTTTAAATTTTAAATTTTTGTTTTTATAACTATTTCAAATATAGATTTTGGAGTTGATATATATATATATATATATATATATATATATATATATATATATATATATATATATATATATATATATATATATAAAAGACGGATATCCAAGGGGTTAGTGGTTCAAAAATGTCATGAACTTGGATCGGTTTAAATGGTTGATGTTCTAAAATTGCAGATTGTTCATTGGTTTTGTTTTGGTTCCAAGAACGGGTAACAAGCTTCTACTCTCTATGCTCAGCCCCAATAAAATGGTGTTCAATAACTTTAACTCATTTAATATTTGCACTCAATAGGTAAACAAACTATCTTTTGTATATACAAACTATCTTTTGTATATTTATTAAGTCATCTTAATGGATTTCAACCAAGTTACGTGTATCTAATCATATTCTTAGGAGGCATTCAATATGTAGAAAATTGTCACTTCCGTGTCCCCAACTTACAATTTTTTATATTTACATCTGTTAAATTTCTTTTGAAATTCGAATGTTATTTTTACTTTGTTGACCGTGTGGTACACGGGTTATAACCTAATATATATATATATATATATATATATATATATATATATATATATATATATATATATATATATATATATATATATATATATATATCTTAAATATTATTAAAAGAGAAACCTTATGACATCATCTTAAATAATCTGAACCATTGATTGTATTTCAATCTTATTTTTTCCACCCATAGATCAAATTGCTGACATCATCTTCCCCATATGGAATGTAATTAATTCCAATAAATGATTTTCAATCATCAATCAATAACTTACATTCGTTGAAATGGAATGTATTTTATCCAATAAAAGCTTTCCATATTTTACATCTTGAATTTTCAGCTATAAAGATTTTAATATGGTCAATTTTAAAAACATATTACTAACAAATCATTTCAATCAAGGTCTCAATATCAACCATTAATATAAATCCGTTTATATTAGTAAACAATTAATATAAAATCTTTTTTTATTAGGAAATCATTAATACCAAAAAATCATATTCAAATTATCACATACATATACGAATCATCATTGAATCCGCGACTCACATTTATTTTCAATCGTTTCTTTTCTTCAAACCTTCTCCCACAACATCGTTAATATTGCTTATAACTTCCATCATCATTCTCTGCTATAAACATTTACTCTTGTGCGCTAGAAGGTCAGCACCTTCTTTCGTTTTTTATATTATTTTTTCGATTATTTTTTGTTCCTATATCAAATGTATGTATTCATATATTTCGATTTTCTTTGTCACAAATTACATGAAATCAGTTAACTACTTTTCTGAAAATTTTCAAATAAACATGAAAAGATATTAGGTACCTTTAACAAAACAAAAATTAACTATCTTGGGAACTGACATTAATTACGAAAATGTTACTTTTATATATTAAAGATAATTATGATTTTTTTTAAATTTTATGTCATAAGAATCCGGTTAATTTTGGCATTATTTTAAAATATCATTGAAATTATTATGATTTTGTATATCATATCAACCTACTTTTTTATCTTTGTATAGTAACAATAAAATTTATTAATTTACACAACAAATATAGATATTTCAAATTTTGTAATATTATTATACCTTACAAAATATAACTCCCTCCAAAATAATTTTTCGTCAGTAATTTCATCCATAATTTCAACAAATTTAAATTTGTATTTTCTTTATATAACTTTTTTTAATGATCCTGGTTTTTTTTTCTCCAAAAGTATATCAAACATTTACGTCTTAGATAATGTTGCCCTATTATAATTATTATTTTTCAAAAGTATATCCGTTTAATGAGGAATTTGATATAATAAAGGAAGTAAATGTTAATTAAAATGAGATATATATTCCATAATTATTAGATGAGTTTATTAAAAAAATTAATATCAAGGTGTAAACATTAAACATTTTTAAAGTGAAATTTCAGAATACATACAAACGATGATGTTGTACAATGAAATATAAAATTGAATAGACTGAAAAAAAAAAAACACTATTAAAGCAGCCAATCTTGAAAATAACATAGTTATGAAAAATTATAAAGTAAGATAAAAATTATAAGATATTAGGAGATTTGTAAAAAGTACATTTAGTAAAAGCATTACGGTTATTAGAAAAAATAAGACCGTTAAGATTAGTGAAAATACAATATATCAACTAAATTATCATAATAGTAATGAAATGTCATTATTTGATATTTCATATAATTGACAGATATATCAAATTACATTGATGATATACTAAAATTATTCAAAGTTGCGCCAAAACAAATGCAAAGTTCTTGCGAACACTAAATAAATATAAACAAACATAAAAGCTAACATTTATATTTATAATCAATTTAAAATAAACCAATCATGACTTAGAAAAGAATCTCCATTGATGATATACTAAAATTAAATATATATATATATATATATATATATATATATATATATATATATATATATATATATATAACATTTAACATTTTATAAATTATATTGCATAACTTTATTTGAATAAATGAAATAGTTGTCAATATTTAATGCAATAGAAAAAACGGTATATTGGTTGTCAATATATGTTTAAATTAGGTAACATTATTATGCAATGAACGTCTAATTAAAATGCTTATAAGTATATAAATATCATAATTATATGAGATGAGGAAAGTCGTTCAACTAATAAAACAAAAAATGATATCTACAAAGAGATCTTTCAATGATTATATATATATATATATATATATATATATATATATATATATATATATATATATATATATCGTTTTCAATGTATTTTCTACACATTTCAATAATACCAATAACCATATATTTTTTTTATAATCATTATACAATATCTATAAACGATTATATGTTTTTTTATGCGTTTCCCGCGTTTAACGTGGGTTATAATCTAGTAATATATATATATATATATATATATATATATATATATATATATATATATATATATATATATATATATCATTACCTATATGTTAAAAAGTTGAAACTATGTCCACATCGATTAGCTGCTTCCTCCACCAATAGAAAAGTTATGGGCGGCCATTCTTAATGGATATGGCGTTCAACAGCTTGGTTGCTTCACACCGCCTGCCCGTCTTCTTGACCTCATGCTTTTCTCATAATGGCGTCTCCTTACTCCACTGTGAGGTTTTCTTCTTTGCATACGTTTCCACCAAAGTTGCTTGCCAGCTCTTGCTTGGTTTTAGGGGCCATGTCAAAATGTGTTGATTTCTCAATAGATTTAGCTTACGCCGCTTTTCCTTTGATACGACACCTCACATATCCTCTGCAATTTATTGGATCGTAACGTGCAACTAACGGAAGCTAAGGAACTGAGTAGGTTTCAATTCATCGGTAAACAGGACCTGAACAACCCACAACCACCCATCCTTAGTTTTTTTATTCTCCAGTTTGGTAAGAGAACTTTGCT